TTTGGCGAATATAAATAGAGCAAGAATTTCTACATCGTTTTTACTATTCCTAACGCGTAAAAATTACACATGAAATGCTATTAAAAATACAAAAAATGCTGGTTTGTCGAGCAAAACTGGCCGATTTTTCGATTCATTTTTCTAGACTTTATCATCGTCTTCGACTAAGTTTATTTAGGAAAATCCGCTCGTCTCTGCCAATGCTAAAAAAACTTCATAACTAACCATATCAATCTCAACTCCTTCCAGCTTGAACACGGGCAGTTTGGCAGCCTAAGCATCCGGTAGCGACTTTTCAGACGGAGGCACTGGCAGCGAAACTTCAGCATTCGTGTCCATCGGCTCCTCGGTGTTGGGATCTCGACGTTGGTAGCGGCTGGAATTGGGAGCGGAAGCGGGCGGGGCAGCCTAAAACACAATTTGTACAATCCAGCTAAAACCACCTCGGCTTTTAGTTCCTCCTTCGGCGCTGTCACCCGACTCCATTCTTGATCTTCTGCTGAAAAAAAACGGTTCTGAGCATATCCGCAGCTTAGGATCCGATTTTTCTAATATAAATAGCGCAGCTACAAAACAAGAATTTTTTTCTAAACGGGACTTTACTATTTTGAGGTGTATACACTTTGTAAATCGAATAAAAATCCAAAAAACATAGGGATTTTTTCGGCCACCATTTTGACTCAAAAAAAGTTCTTTTACGTTTTTTATTGCCTTTCCATTGGAATTATAGTTATTCCCATTAATATTTGACTAAAACCCCCATTAATAAACCTTATTCCACTTTATAATGCAAGTTTATAAACTTAAAAGGAAAAATTACCCTCAGATAACGCGAAAGTACCTAAAAAAAAAGATTAATTTTAACGACAAGAAACCCACGAAAAATTCGAATCGTCCATTGCCTGCTCGCCTCTTGGTCACAACGTTAATGTCATCCGAGCGTGGCTCGGAGTGGAATTTCCGAGGTCTTCCCGGATCCCACGACGGCGATCCGTGCCATGTGCGGAAACTTGTGGCCGCGCCTAGAGCCGGTACTAACCTGAAAAAGAAGACATTCAAAGGTTTTAAGCAACAAAAATGTAATTCTCTTGTTAACGCGCATCATGCGATTTTTCGGGATCACTCTCCTGTTGGAGTCGGCATTGAGAAGCCGGGGAACCGGGAGGATTGGGCACTGGCTTGCGAGCGCTTTATGCCGTGGGGTCATTATTGTACGGCCACGCTGGGTGGGCGTTCTAAAATGGTAGAGCAAATTACTGGCATTTAATCTCGAATGCAAAAGGGTTGGTTGGTTGGTTCATTAGCGGGGAAAGGGCCAGGAAAATGCGAATTCTTTCTGGAGGTCCGTAAGGAACATTTTTTAAACTTCAGTTGGCAGCGGTTTTAGAATTTGAGTAAACCTTTATCAATTTCTAAAAAAGACAATAAAACTATCTTATATTTTATTCTCGAGAAGGCTAGGCTGAATAAACGAACTTAGCGAACCCGCTACCGAACCAGAACAAAAAAAAAAAAAAAAAACAATTTAGAAACTCACGTAGCCTCTGCCGTAGTGCCTCATGGTCCGAAATTTTTGCGATCGTGCTCAAAAAAGCAGTTTTTGCTCGCCGCCGGCCGGCTGCGCGTCTTCCGCTGCGGCTGAGGCGGCTGCTGATCAACAACTTCCTCAGCCCCTGTGGCGGTCTGTCGATCAGGACAGGCTGTTGGATCAACAACTTGCAGCCGAGGCGGCGGTTCGGATTGTGAGGGGACAAAGAGGGCTGCGGATCAACAACTTCCAGCTGGGGCGGCGCGTTCGGATTCACGAGTGGGGGACAAGGCTGCCGATCAACAACTTCAAATGGGGCGGCGTACTGATTGTGGACAGGCTGCTGTTGTTGCTGATGGGCGAGGACGATTTCAGCGGCTGGCGTTCGCTGGCCGGTCGGCACCCGTAAAGTCTTGGGGCATGGTCGGCTGCGGAATTTCCGCGTGGTGACGACTGGTTGACGCTGTGGACGCTCGGCGGGTGGGACTTGTGCGTACTGGTTGATGACCGGGTGATGTGGGAGGAGGATGATGTTGTGGAGGATGATGATTACCTAGAATCTGCAGAGAGGTAATCAAGAAGTCGTAAAAAGTGCATTTCCTTAAAAAAATCCAGTAAAAGTTAGTTGTTTTGGCGTTTTCTAGCGTATTTTCATATTGTTCCAAGTATTTTGGTCCGCAAAAAGTCGTAGAGAATATTTAGAAAAGGTAATGCTTTTGAAATTCTCCCAATATTTGATGTTTTTATCTCAAAAACTTCATAGTTTGGGCTATTAAAGGTCCTAGGGAATATAAGTAAATGCCAAAGATTGAAATTTTGATCATTTTCGTACGCTTTACCAAAAACCACATTATGCGCAAATTAATAAAGCTTGATTAGCTTTCTATACTTAAAACGTTGCTAGAAACAATGAATGGTGTTTAGCGCATTACTTAGGGGCCCAGGGCGATTACTCCAAGGTAGTCCAGGACCAAAAGCATGCCATAAGCAGCCTAATTTTACAATAAACAAATCTAAGGCTTTTTTAGTTTTCTAACTTTTAAAAATTACTCAAAAACGAAGCAGCTAGGTTTTCCGGGCCGGGGATGCTGATGCGGAACGTTAAAGCTGACCTAAAAACGACACCCTTCGCCCAAAAAACCCAGATAAAGGGCCCGCAAACGTTATTTTAAAAAACCTAATAACAATTTTTGTTTTCTAAACTTAGGAACAAGGTTAACAACGAAGCAGCTAGGTTTTATGGATCAGAAGCGCCAAAAAGTATATTTTAACCCCCAGAGAAGGCTCGCCAGAACGTTATTTTGAGAATCAAAACCCATTCATCTTGTCGGCTTTTGAAATTTCACAAAGACACTACAAAACCAACCAGCAACATTCTGCGGCACCAATGCCGCACCCGATAGCGCGGGCCCGTCGGCTGGTGGTGCTGCCAGTGCTGAGCGGGTGGTGGACGAATTGGGTAGTGCGGCATTGGCTGCATGCTGGGTTGGCGGGGCGCAATAGGGGGGGCTTGTAGCACGAGCTCGAGTATCCTGAAAATTGATAAAAACGTCCAGAAAAAGCTACAGCTGCCGCACGGAGGTTATCAATGTAAGCTGTCTGCGCGCGCAGTCGCCGGGCGGCCGCGGCCATGAGTTGTAGCTGAAATGAAGGATATTTAGGGAAAAGCGGAAGCTTACATATGACCTCGCAAAAAAACACTCTTTAAAGCGACAGAGAGGGTTTGGATCATCATGGTAGTTACACCATTAGAAGCCCTTGAAACGGCGAGTTTGCAAAGATCTTCAAAAAATATATCTTTATGTCAATCGCGGTGTTATAACGCATTTGCAAAGATTGAGCAAGGGCCTCTAAATCTAATGGACGTCAACTTTCGGTCATTTTGCGCGGAGAAATTGAGGCAAATTGGCTGGTCTGCAACCCGGAAATTTAACAAAATTGCGTGTAAAATGTCACGTTCAAATAAAAAGATTGTTATGAAGCTTGTTGCAAACTCGCCGCTTCAAGGGCTTTCGAGATGGTATAAAATAATCCTATTCCGATCCATATCACGTTGAATCATAGGGGTGTTTTTATTAGGAGGCAATTTTTGAGCAAATTTTGAAAGTTATAGCGTTCAGGCGTTAGAGTGATCGAGCAATTTTGAAAATTTCGAACCACAAACTTCGAGGGCTGGCTAGTTTGCTCAAACTTTACAAATTTGCTCGAACGCCGCACGCTGGATTGCTGGAACTAAAGAACTCCCCGCAAAAGCAAAAGCAAATGCAACTGCAACTGGTAAAAACCATATTTTTTAGAAGAAAAAGGCTCACCCCGCCTCGTGGACGCGGGCTGTTGACTGGCAGATACTCGCGGTGGCTGCTGTCGATGGCCACGGCGAGCGCGTGGTGAAGAGTAACCTAAAATACGTTTTAAACACGCCGAAAATGTACCTCGTGACGCATCAATGCATTCGGGTCGATGTTGACGGCGTTTCCCTGGGGCGGGATCTCCTCCTCGTGAGACACGTCGACGACGTGGATCTCCTCGTCTTCGAGCCTCTCTTGCGACAGGGTGCTGTTCATTCTGAAATGTAAATATCTATTAAAACCCAGATTAACACACGAAGGAAAACCGAGAAAAGATCATCTAATACGTAAATGCTGAGTGCGCAAAAGTCGAAAATTCACAACCATTTTTTGAGCGACCTTTTTTGAAAAAACCTTTAGTTCTGCTAAAATACATACTTTTCGATGTACTTTTTCGGGCAAAAAAGAATATGGCGACTTGCACTCGAAAATAACTAAATTCCGCTCTGATATTTTTAATTCTCATACAAGTTCCTGCATAGTTTAACTTAAAATTTAGCGCACAAAAGTGTATTTGGTGACATTTAAGCTATACAGAATAAAACGATTAGAATTGGCGAAATTCAGAAACGAATTCAGAAGAATCCTTCGGTCGTATGTCGTCTCCACCGTACACTGAAGGAGCGCTGCAGGAAGCGGAGGTGGCCTGTCATCTGTAGCAATTCGGAATTCCAGCAAACTGCACCGATTTATCCTCTTTTTGGACCCCATTTTTGATAGAATTCCAACGATTTCGAACATTTTAAGGGGTCACATGATGGGAATTCGTTTAGTTACGACAGAACGGCCGTCTTCCCGCTTATTTTCCAGTTAGAGAAAGTTATGAGAAGCCAGAAAATGGAAATACTCTAGAAAACGACAAACTATAAAGGACAACCTGTATAAAGCCGGGATTTCCGTTAGTAGAAAACTAAACTCTTCCGCTAACCTATAGCTGCAAACTCGCCAAATTAGACCCCTTCGTGTAGAATTCGAAGAAAATTGAAACTGTTTATCAAAATGAGTATCACTTGAGCAACGGAACAATGTTTTCGGGGGTGTGGGGAGGGGGATCTTCTTCAAGACTTTCCGGGGTCGAAGCTCTTTGGTTTTGGGAAGTTGGACGCCGAGCCGGGTCGCTCCTAGCGCGGTACCACGATGTTATCGTAGGGTTTTGATCTGAAACTGTTTAATTGATGGGCTTCATCATCAAACTTGTCGTTGAAAAAGTATTCTTGTTACTCACCGAACTGAACACTGCTTTCTGAGGATACAATAGGCAACGATGCCCCAGATAACGACCGCCAGAATGATCACCAGGACCCAGAGGGCCCACCAGGCTCGTCGATAGGCGCCGAGCTAAAGTTTTTGAGCTGTGTTTCGGTTTCTAACCTTCATAGACAGTTATAATAGCGGTAAGGTCTTCTTTTCGGTTCCTCTTTTGTTATTTAACGCTTTCCAAGAATAATCCAAGAACAAAGAACAAGAACGTTTTGTCTTTTTTATAGTTTTCTTTATTTTTGCACACGTTCAGAACAGAGATTATATCCTTTCTGACTAACCTGAACCCGTTCCTCATTCGTCAAATCGGCATCAGGATCCGCGACTGTATCCCCGTCTCTGGGCACATATTTTGAGATCAATTCCGCTTCAACGTTCCAAAATTTCGGGCTTGGCCAATGGAGATCGCCGTTTTCGATTCTAAATTTAACGTAGTGGAAGCCCATTTTGTTTTCTAGTAATAGAACGATAAAAATTTCTAATTTTAAGCCAAAAACTGACTTTGGCGGCACGTTGATGGACACATATTGGCTGCTCTCATTAGTGAAGGGTGGGAATGTGAAGCGTTTTGTCGAGGGGTCGCCGGTTTTCACGAAATTCGTCAGCATATTGGTTAGCATTGTCGACAGGGTTTCGTCCTTTTTCGTAAAAGGTTTTATCTAATGGTATTTGACGTATTTGAGTAAAGGAATTCATACCTCAAAATTGCTGCTGTAGCCCTTTGAGAAGATATAGGCGTGGTCAAGGCCGTGAAAGGCGTCGAGACGTTTTTCTAAAGGAGAAGTTAATGTAAAACGTATTAATAAAGTAAGGCTTTGTTATAAAAGCTATATTTAACCTGCTAGTATCGAAATTATATTGTTTAACGTAACAAATACGCCTTAAAATAGTTTTTAAACATATTTCAACTCACCCCCGCCATCCCGTCGCTCCACCTTGATCGGGTCCTTGCCAAAAAGATGGAATGTCTTCATTTCCTGTAGAATAAGAAGGGTATAACAAAAATAGAGCTGATTTTTGATACCTCTTCATAAATCGGGCTTTCTGGGACGTAATCAAACGAGTAGACGTAGACCGGAACCCCGTTCTGCGCGTAAGCGTTGATTTCACGTTGGCACGGGGATACAAACTCGATATCGGCTTCCATCTAAAGGTTTATATAATCTCTAAGGCTAAAAAGAGTCTTTTCAAAAAAGGGCTTTTGGTTCTCGCAAAAAAAGAGGAATTCTCGTGGCAACAAAAAGAGCTAAATTCCTTTCAAACTCTTAAAATGCTACAGAATGCGGGAACAACAAAAAGTTGCTGGCTATTTAAAACCTTAATAAACTCGGTACCATCCCAGATCACAGGTCAGGTTCCACAGATTAATTTCAAGAAAGTGCAAATCGATCATAATACAGAAATTATTTGCAAGCCGAAACCGCTAGAAACTAGATCTGTCCATTTTAATAAGGTGCCAGCAACTTTTGGTTGATCCCACATTCTGTAGCATTTTAAGAGTTTGAAAGGAATTTAGCTCTTTTTGTTGCCACGAGAATTCCTCTTTTTTTGCGAGAACCAAAAGCCCTTTTTTGAAAAGACTCTTTTTAGCCTTAGAGAGAATTTAGCCCTTTTTGCCTCATTCTTATTGTTAAGATCATAAAATAAGCAATGGAATACTTATTCAGATGAACCCTTGTACGCAAAACTTCAAAAAAATTTGCCTGCGGCGCTTTGTAACGGTACTAGAAACCATAAGGATGTACCGGGGCCAATCGGCAAAACGGATGTTGCGGGTGGGGTTCGAACCCCTGGGGCAAGACTTCCCAGTACAGCGTGCTAACCACTAGGCCAACGGGGAGACTGGAGGCCTGTCTTGGGGAAGCTAGACCCGCCCGCCCTGACTCGGGACTGGGGCCGCCAAAGGGGAGGGTGGTGCCCCGTATGGCGAAGGTTTAAAGTTAAAATATCTCAGAGAAGAAGTATTCTTTCGATGCAATTTCTTCTTTACTTTTTCCGGCAAGGTCTAATGCATATTTGAGCAAAATTTCAGCCCAAACGGACATCACTAACCCTTGTTTTGACCGCAATTTAGCTTTTAAACTTAAAAATTATATATAAAATTTTTAAAAGCCTATTTTGGAAAAAACGCTTCTTCCTCACCTTCATTTACATCAAGTCGATATCTGTGGAAAATTTCAGCCCAAACGGACCATGGGAAGGCACTTTTTGACGACTACAAAGGTTTTGCGTACATACAGACATACAAACAAACGCAGACCCCCCCTCGAAACGCAATTTAAATCGGCTGTTAAAATTCGAAATTTAACTTTTTTTCAAATTTTAAAAGCTTATAGTATGTAAAAAGTGTCGCCGGTTCCGATGGTGTATTCAGTTTTGCGATCCGATGCTTGGTTCTTTTTTAAATCCGGAAAAGGACCTCAAAAGAGTCGTATGGGGGGGTACCTCAAACCAAAAGGGGTTAGCGGGCTACGCCCGCTAACCCCGATTTTATTACTATCGTATAGCAACAAGAAAAAGCACCGATTTTCGCGGTTGATATCAGATGCCTTTACATATAATACATAATTACGCCTTAAACAGTGCCTTATTAGCCTAATCCGGCGCTCAAAAAATCATAAATATTCGCAAATTGAGAGCGTTTTTCGTTTTTACGTTTTTTTTTTTACTATCTTTCTACTGCTCGTTGATGTTCAAGCCGTCTTTTGACCGTATATGAGCTTTATAAGCTCTAACTCACGTTTTGCAAAGCATGAACCACTCGTCCAGTTTCGTAGGTATTTGACGGGTCGTCCATATACCGCACGAATGATGCATTTGCGATCAAATGGAGAGTGGCGTTCGATAACCGATCCTAAAATCAGTCTTCCAGTTTAAGAAAAAGTAGTTTGCTTTACATTAGCCCCAACGTGGAACGAGTTCTCTATAATGCGATACACTGCCGTTTCCACGTCCTTTCGCGCCAAGCTGTTGTTCTTGGGAAGGGAATAGAATTGCGCTAGAAATTTAACGTTATTGGGCTATCAAAATTGTGGCTTACGTTTCTTATGGGCCCATTCTCTGCGTGCAACTCCGGTTAGAATCGGGATCCTGGCATTGAGGAGGAGCTCAGGGCCGGCTGATGGTACCAAGTCACCATCAACGACTAGCTTGGAGACGCCAAGCTAGAAGTATTTTTTTTAGTTTATGAACGCTCTTCGGTGCTTTGGGATGATATTTCTTTATTAATTTTTTATTATTTACTATTTGCTTTATTTAGCGCAGCTTTAGTGATTCTAAGAATAAAAGGAGTATTGTTGACGATAAGTTTTTAAGTGTTTTTTCGGGTGTCAAGCATTATTTATTATTGTCCTATTCTAAATAACGTTTAATTTGGCTATAGCTTACCTCAATGGCCAAGGCTTTACGCAACAAAGCCGACGTCAGGTTCAGTTCTTTCCTCATGCAATCCATCAGCTCGCTGGCTTTCAGGTCGGTCTGAGAATTTGTGACTTAGCACGAGTTGTTTAATAAATTCTAATTTATATAGCTTCACATTATTTTTTTACACTTACATTCTTCAAGCAATCAATCTGTTGATCCTGGTAGTTACAGTGCTTGGACATGACTTCATCTTTCGAATAGTCATCCCCAACAATTTCAGCCGCATCTTCTTCGCTGATCGCTTTTTCACACCTAAAATTGTCCGTTCGAATTAGGTACACAAATTGCTGGTAGTCAAGGGAACGTGAAAAAAATATTTTTTATTTGGATTTTTATCTTTTTCATCTTTTGCAAGGTGGATTTCTGGAGTTTTTCCAAGCTATGGTAACAAATAGAAATCCGAAAAATCCCTTGACTTCCAGCCATTTTTCAGACACATGCACAGGTAGTATAAGCGTACGAGGATAGTGTGGGTGCGGAGGGTGGTACGGAGAGGCTAGGTAACTTAATTTCAGGGTTTTTGGGGTTCAGGTTGAAAGGACTGGGAGCTGTAAGGTATACTCCCAGATTCGGACAGTTTAGGAAAACCGAAATCTCGGGTTTCGCATTCCTCGGTATCGCCTTTTGTACTTGTGCATGCGCCTGAGGGCCTGATGGAGGGTTCTGAAGGGGACGCTCCTCAAGTACGAGGCCATGTGGTCGACGCTCCACTGGGGGGTGCCATGGCGGTGCAGGGCCCAGCCCGCACCGCTGCTCCCGGACATGATGATGGCCTGGTGGAGGAGGGCTGAAATGGAATCCTACACTTAAGGTTTTTACATTTCAAGTAGCAGAATCAGTAGAAAAAGCGGTAAAATTCTGCTCTGCAACTGTAGCGATTTTACAGGAAAGTACGCTTTTTACGCGATTCCGCCTAGAAGCGTCAATAGTAAGGTGCGTAGTAGTATTTAAAATCCCCCTTCCTACCCCTTTGATTAATTCTTCAACTCACTAGTAGTTTTTGGACTCAACGCCAATGCGGAAGCGGCTGCAGCTCCAGCACTTTCCCCCATGACGGTCACTCGGGTGGGGTCGCCGTTGAACTGCTTGATGTTGGCCTGGATCCATTGGAGGGCCATCACCTCAAAAAGGTTGTTTCTCTCTCGCTCTCTCTCTCTCTCTCTCCGCTTTTCTTTTCTCTCTCTCTTTCTCTCTCTCTCTCACTCTCTCTCTCTCCTCCTACCTGATCCCACAGCCCATAATTGCCCTCCATCTTCTCCCCGTCGTACATGTTGATGAAACCTAATAATTGAAGCGTTGTTTAATGACTTTTTAGATACCTAGCGGTCCAAGACGATAATTGATCGAAACCAGGGTAACGCCCTTGAAAACGATATTTCTCGCCACGGTCTCCATATCAATTCCAGTGTCTCCGGAGCCGGCCAAAAACGAGCCGCCATGGATCCAGACAAGGATTGGGTAGAGGTTTGACTCGTCTTCCATGTCCTAAAAAAATAGCTGACAGGTTTATTCGGTAATGCAAATTTCAAATTTTGGCATACCATTCCTAATGGTGACATTTATCTTTCTGACCCGGGTTTTCGAGATTTTCATTTGGTTAATTTTGAGTTTGGGTATCCAGATAATTTCAGAACTTACGTATGGTGAAAATACATTTAAATATAGACAATCCTCGCTCTCCCTCTTCATATTATCCTTAGCATATCGGTCATGCCGATGAAAATCCATGAATTGGAGGCATGGAGGCCCGTATTCGATGGCGCCGAGCTCTTGGTGCCATCGTGTCTTTTTGACGGGTTTCTGAAATCGCAACTTACATAAATTTCCGCGCCAGAATTTTCTTGATAAACGTCTTGAAAAAGAGCAGCCATTTTTAGGTGTCAGGAATCCGACCAGGATTTTTTTATGAAATTCGGGTCACTTTATGCCTAATACAACTCATTTACATCTCGGAAAACTTTTAAAAACTCACCTTAAACCTCAAATTCCCAATCGGTGGTTCAGCATAGGGAATGCCTCGGAATATTTGCACGAATCGGTCGTCAATTTTGTAGATTTTACCTCTAGAATATTTTATTTGAGAAAAGATACTTTTTCATACCTGACCAATCCCTGCTCCACCCAGACCGACCGTGATTTCTCTAACACTTGCCCCGCGCCAAATAGAATACAGAAAGTGCCGTTAGAAAGCGAAAAAATAGCGCAAGCGGCGGCCAGGTAGCCGGCATGATGCCGGCGCAACGGGTGGGACCCTGAAAGGAGGAATATTTCGAGAAAATTGAGTTGTTATGAGGTGAATTCGACGATAAAAATGGGGAAAACTGCAATATGAATTACAGGCATGTCAATTGCCATCTTTCTATTTTAATTACAACAACGACAGAGGCAAGACTATTTTATGACCGATGAATGCGCATAAAATTTTGCAGCATGGGCGACACGCGACGCGAAGGTGCAACAGCGTGCGCTGCGTATCGCGAGCGTGGAAACATTATGAAGGTCTGCAAAGCTCGTACGCCAAACCCTTAAAAAATCGCAAAGAGGTATATGTCTCAATTTTGAAAAGCTATTTTCCATTACCACGTATAAAGCCAAAGGCGAGTGGGATCAAAATAACAAAATTCACGAACGCCAATTCCAAAGATCCACCCAAATTGGCACCTATCCAAGAAATCCGCGATTTTTTAGGAGCTGGGTCCATTGGGTGCTCCTCCCCCTCCTTAGGCCAGTTTTCCTTGGGCCCAAATGGCCGTGTTACGATGAGGGCTGTTTAGCGGCCGGACCTCCCCCAAAAATGCTCGTAAAATAACTAATGACTTATGGGGTGCTGCTTCTCTGCGTTACCGGAAATGTGCCGGGTGCTGTAATTTTTCTGGGTCAACAACGTCAGGCGATTTAATGAGAGTTTCGTGATCCCACGCACATTTCTCAAAAATGCATTAAAATACCTTAAAACGCTACTAGGGTAAAAATGAACAAGAATGAAATTTGTCGGGCATTTACAAAATTAGGACCCCAGCAAAACCGCAAGAAAAAGCTAAAATGATATATTGTAATTCGAAACATTATATAAAGGTAAAGTTTTATAAGGATAACATTGTGGAATTTTCGAGTGGAAAATTAAGAGAATGCACAATGACTTTACATATGCGCAATTTTTATGGTTTTTTAGAGAAAAAAATAATATAATCGAATTTATAACTTGATGATGGTTTAGTTTGGCTATTCAAAAATTGTCATTAATTTTAAAACCGAATTTTGCAAGCAGCCGTCAAAAAATTTGGAACGAGATGGAACGCATTTCCCCCAAATTTCGCTCTGTTTATCTTTGTTCCCAGAGATGCGCGAAATTGTTTATGGTCCCGGGGATTACATAGCCTTTTTTATTTTGCATTTTCTGGGGATTAACTTGAATAAACGGAGCGTCTCCCGGTTCCTGGAACGGCCACAAAAATTGTGCAACACCATAAAAACAGAAAAATTGGGAAACTGGGCCATTCAAAAGCCAAAAAAGAGGAAAATGAAATATTTTATTTGAACCTTACAAGGAGTCGTTTTTAGGTGATATTGGAGTTTTTGAACGAGACCTAGCTAGTTAGATAGAGAAAAAAATTCTGAACAAGATGTCGTTTTCCAAATCTGCTAACCGTGTACGCTGTTCAATAAAAATTAATCGCCCTGTGGGCTATGACCCGGGCCTGATCCATGGGTCGCAGCCTGACGTCCAGGAATTTTTTCATTAAAATTAATTTTTATTGAATACAGTACACGGTTAGCAGATTTGGAAAACGACATCTTGTTCAGAATTTTTTTTCTCTATCGAACTAGCTAGGTCTCGTTCAAAAACCCCAATATCACCTAAAAACGACTCCTTGTTAGCGTAGTTTTACAACATTTCTAATAGTTACGGTTTAAAAAGTTTTTTAGAGGATTAAATTCAATTCTCTTAAATTCTTAAATTCTCTTAAATTCAATTAGATTGAAACGATACCTTAGGATGGACGGGAAAAGTTTAAAAGCTCTTCATTCCCCTAAAAATTTTTAAAAACCACGAAAGGGGCATGGAACACTCTAAAATGAGTCTAAATTCATGACAAATCCAAAAAAATTCAGGACGTCTTTCCCTTCCCGTTAGAAGCTTCAAAAACTAGCGAAAAGGAAGGAAAAGCCCGAAAAACCGTAACACATTTCTGCCGGACCAAAAATTCCACCCTCCCGATCCAAGGTCCGTAAAACCAAGTTGTTGACTGTCCGTTTCGACCAGGGCGCTGGGGATGAAGATTAATTTGGGACAATTTTGCCAGGGTGGGCCCTCTGGCTAAGGCTGCAAAGAGGAGTCACCCGTAGCCCGGTGTATGTGACCAGGATCGATCTTTCGAAATGACTGGGGCCCAGTTTTGGGGGGAGGAAACAGCTGTCTCCGGCTCATTCTAATCAACGGCCCGGTTGGGATAAGTAGATGAGTGAGAAAGAGAGAAACATAGAGAGAGACAGAGAGAAGGGAGAGAGAGAGAGAGAGAGAGAGAGAGAGGAGAGATAGGGGAGAGAAAGAGAGATAACGAGAGCGAGAGAGAGAGATGGTCTAAAGACTCAGCTCGTAACTTCGTTGCCCGGCTTTTCTTTGGTCTGGTTATGAGGAAGCGAGGAATGATCATGATGGATCTGCTGATCCGGAAACGACTGGCCCTCTATGAGGCCCCATGACAAGGGGCCTGTCTGCACACCGGAACAACCGGAACAAACGGATCAGCCTGCAGACAGATCGGATATTGCTGATCTTTGGACATACAAAGGAAACTGCAGGAAACCATGCAAACACCTACAGTCTTTTCGCTCGCAATTCTATCCCTGGATGGTGCGTCGGGGAAGAAAAATTTTGGCAATATAAGCTTGGATTTTAATAAAGATCAATCTAAGGCGCTGGGAAGGCCAAAAATCGGCCGTTTCATTCCGTTGGCTAGAGACCGGTATGTGAAATTCTAGGTGTAAGGTTCCTCGGTGCTTTCGAACTGTCTAAAGTATTATGTTGTACTGTCGATACATAATCGGGCAGCGGGTACGGGCATTTCCAAGCGCATTTATTCCTTGTGATCAATTTCCAATAGGTAAAAAAGACTATCAGGCCATCAGCTTTCACATAACAGGAAGAATTTTGTATAGACGGGTGGACCCTTTAGATCACGGTGACTTCACAGATTTCAAATTCGGGTTTCTCCTGATGAAAATAATACTAAACAAATGCCACAGACAAAGAAGTCTCACGAAAAATTCCAAAATGTAACTCAAAAGTTTTCCGCTAAAGATGTTCCCTCGGTCATTTTTACATGACGTCTCCCGAAAGTGTTTTCAGGGAAATCGAATTCGAGGGTCCGGAGGGCAGAGTCAACCTCGGAAGTTCCGGGACGCTCCATGGTCTTGGGTCTCTTTGCAGCTGTTTGAGAGTGTTGGTACTTAAGTGAGGGAACAGCTTGAAGTGAAGTGCCTCGTAATCTAGAAAATTTAAGATTTGAGCTGGACCACCCAGCTCGAAAAATCCACAGCTGCCACGCTATTAAAAAATTAGTTTGCTTTTGCTAAATCCTCGCAAATTCATTAGCGTAGGTTTTTACGAAATCGCTTGTTCCGTTAACCGATCATCGCCCAACGACATTACATTTTTTGAGTCAGGGTTCGACTGTCCTCTGAAAGTCGACGTCCAAAAGTGAGGGACCGGCTCTAAGCAAAGATGCCTCGTAATCCGAAAAATTTAAGTTTTGGGCTAGAAACACCGTTCGAAAAATCTGCAGCTACCACGATATTAAATGATGAATTTGGTTTTCTTTTTTAATTCATCAACGTAATTTTTGGAGAATCACTTGTTGCGTTGACCGCTCACCGCTCAGCGACATTAAATTTTTGAGTCACGGTCCGACTGTACTCTGAAGGGGCCATGTCCGGCCGGCCGCCTGTTTGAAGTGTTTCCCGGTCGCTGTGCGCTCATCTGCCCGGCTCAACGAGGCTCAAATTCTTTTCGAGTACACCGTATTCGTAGAATCACCTTAGAAAATTAGATTCTGATCACTTTTCAGGCCGTAGTAGCTCCGCCTGATGTCAGCGGGATTCTTATTAGGTAGGATTTTTTTCACCGTGAATTCGTTATTATGGCATATGCGCCAGTTTTGAGATGGATTCCGATGCGATTTCACCAAAAGTAATCACAGGTAATTCTAACAGACAAACCCGAGCTGTCCTAGACCCTTTAAAAACCTCTTCCGGTTGTTTACCCATAACCAAGCATCAGTCTAGCCACCATCCGCAGGGTTAGTGTCATTTTGGGGCTTGGGGCGGTATGCGGGAAATCCGTTGGCCGAGAAAACGAGGTCATCCCGGGTGGATGGATCCAGTGGTGCGAGTATGACTCCCCCCTCTTCTCTTTCTGACCATCCTCTAACCCACAGTCCGAATAGCCGATCCATCCCCTTACTACCCTTCTCTTCTCTTCACTTCTCTTCCTCTTCACCCCTATCCACTTCCATAAATCGATTCGGATCGTGCTCAAATTTTCATATGTAGCCATAACAACAACTTCGAAGTCAGTCCTCAAAATCGGCACGTCTCGTTGGACTCGTAAACATCCTTTTCTAAGTAGCCAACTGGCGAGGATCTTTAGGAGCATATTTTCGTAGGCTCTTTCTAGGGGAAAAGGATGTTTATGGCATAATGCACACGGATTTAGCACTCTGTTTTTAAAATTTAAGCTTTTTCACCCGATTTTCGTTAGTAGTTGTTAGTATTGATAGTAAGAGGGCATAACCACGTTTTTTTCAAACGCTAATCCATGTATTGTTGAAGTATCGGTAGCGGTTAAACTCAAAATATAAAAAAAAAATTTTATTTAACTTTTTTTTACAACAGTAGGGCAAGTTTTCTGCGATCTTAAATTAAATTTTTATCAAGTGCGTTCAGGTTAAATATAAAAACAAAACTGCTGTTGTAGAATTATAATTCGTGTCATTTTTATCGAGCAACCTCTAATGAAATTAAAAAAAGACATTTTTCCCGGTCGTTTGACGAATATTGAAGAATTAGAGAACTGTCTATCCTTTATAGACCTCACTTTCCCGACGATTGAAAAATTTGAGCAGTTTTATAGAGCATTGTAACAAAATGGTATCAAATTAATTGCTTGAAGCTGTATAGTTGTGCTTGTTTTGTATGGTTTACGATTCTCTGGTGTTCGGTGTTTGTAAATTTTTTATAAAAATTTTTCTCCTTATTCTAACTCGTTTTTCAGCCCTCAATGGGCTTCATCAACCCGCTGGGCCTGCTACAAGATTGGCTGGCCCACAAATTCTACAACTACGGACTACTTGTCTCACGGCATCCGCGATTTTTCACTGTCGCGCCGTTAATTTTGACACTAGTATTATCGTTTGGAGTCCTAAATGTTAGAACCGAGGTGAGTTCAAGCTTCGAGAAGTCGCAAAAAATCAATATTTTAGGACGATCTACGATTTCTGTATTCACCTAGAGCCTCCAGATCGAGAGTGGAATATCAGATTCACAAGGAATTTAGCGGGGATTCGACTAATAGGTATATTTTCGATGTTTTCTGGTGTTTAGGATTTTAAAAGATTGTGCTAGCAAGTTGCAAAAGTAGAGAAAAAGTGGAAATAAATTCTGATGAATTTTGCGTATCCCATCTCTGTAAAACGCGTGAAAGACGATGCAAAAAATTTTTGTGAATATGTTTATGTTATGTAAGAAATCTAGAACATGAGCCTATTAACGTCTTTAGCTCGTTCCTCTCTATAACAATTGAATCTGCAACCGAAGACAAAAATCTACTCTCAAAGGAACGTGGTGATATCATCAAAGGCTTTAATAAATGGATTCTGAACGAAATGACGATAAGTTTAAATGACGAAGAAGTAAGTTTTCCATTTCACGATTGAATTCAATTTTTGTATAGATAAAATTTGGCGGTAATATCTGCAAAGAAGAGGAACCATGCGGAATGTCCAATACAATTGTCGAGATATTTTTCGACACTTTTTGGAATAAGAAGGTAAGAGAGAAACCAAAATTCTAGTCGCTGTTTAGCTACTCGAAGATCCAAGGGTTGAGCTTCACTACCCTACTATGAAATTCTTTGAAAACAAATTCTTCCTGCCCACTCATTTATATGGCGTGAAATTGGATGAGAATCGGACGATTGAGAGGATAGAGATGATCCATATGTTTTATATGGTTCCTTCGTATAACGAGGTAAGATATATTCGTATCTTTCTCTCTCTCTCTCTCTCTCTCTCTCTCTCTCTCTCTCCCCTCTCTTCCCCTCTCTCTTTTTCGCTCTCTCGATTTATATAATTTTTCTAGACCTTATCTGATGACGTCTGTGCGGCAGTGGTTGATGCCATTCGAGCCGGTCTGGAAAAACACCTTCCAACTTTGGAGGTAAGGATCCTATAAAACATCAAAAACACGGTATTTAAGACGGCCATGTTCTCGCTCTCAATTCTGAAGGAAGAGATGCACAAAAATGCCACCTTCACAATCCCCTACATTCCTCTGACTGTATTCTTGCTCATCACCTTCTCTGTGGGATCTTGGTAAGGTGAAAAGCTTGCTGGTATGAGCTGGCTTTAACTAACGGAAAATTATCATTCCGAAAAGTAAAAAAACTCTGCGCATTGCGATGTGTTGCACCGTAGCAACTCCTAAGCATTGAGTCCAAAAGCAAAAAGGTAGGTCTTGGCCGGGATCGAACCGGCGACCTTCTGCGTGTGAAGCAGACGTGATAACCACTACACCACAAGACCACGAGAGACGGCCCTGGGAGGGGGTCTATGAGGGGAAGGGGATTAGTCACCCGTCCAAAGGGGAACAAGGCCTTTCCGAGAAGAACACAAAAAATTGAGAAACATGGCACGGCAAAGCAAAAACAAATCCTAATAAATAGCAAGTATGTTCGAAATTTTATAGCATGACTGGCGATTGGATCACGTCAAAACCCATCGAAGCTGTTGTTGGTGTTTTCACCTCTACCCTGGCCATCATGAGCGCGGCCGGAATTTTGTTTGCGATCGGGACGCCGTTTGTGCATCAGGTAAGTATTGGAATTAGGTTTTTCGCGCAAAGTTTGTATCTATCAGTTTTCATGAACACTCGCCAAAAAAGCGTAAATCACCCTGAAAAGACAATATTTCTTAGCTATATTGACGGGTAGGGTAGTCTGGTTTTTTGAGGAAATCCTAGTTACCGAAAAATTTTAGGGTTTTGGAAAACTATAAATTGATTTTTTCAGGTGACTGTTATGCCCTTTCTGGCCCTAGCCATTGGAGTGGATGATACCTTCGTAATGCTAGGCGCTTGGCAAGACACTAGAAGAACTTTATCACCCGAAAAACGAATGGCGTTGACGTTGGAAGAAGCTGGGTGGTAAGTAATTTCTCATTTCGAACGGGATAAAGACGAAAAAGAAGTAATAGCGACTTTTTAGCGCCATCTCGGTCACCACGCTTACTTCGGTGCTGTCATTTGGTATTGGAACGTACAGCAGCACACCGGCCATTTCAATTTTCTGCAAATTCATCGCGCTGGCCCTGTTTTTCGATTGGTTCTACCAGGTGAGCTAGGGCGTATTAAATTTTTTCTGTTCTTCTGTTTTATCTATTTTGACACATAATTTAAATCGATTCAATTTATGATGGCTAAAATATGCTTCCTAGCTAACCTTCTTTGCCGGTGTGATGGTACTCGGTGGCCGTCGTGAAGCCGCTGGGTATCACTCGGTTTTCGTGTGGAAGCGAATGCCAAAGGAGGAGATTGAGAAAGTAGGTTAACTCGCTTTGAAAATTTAACATACTCCGCTTCAGGCTAAACAACCAGATGCCATATCCCCAACGCGATACCTCTTCGAGAACAAGCTGGCCCCATTTTTGTGCAAGCCGAGCACGAGGATGGTTTTGGTGAGTCATCACATTCGATTTAAAGATTTTCTCAGGAATTGAAGCAGTAAAAATAGTTTAATAAACCTGAATACCTTTCAGATCTGCCTCTACGGCGTCTACATAGCCACCGCTTTTTACGGTTGCTCCCTGCTGACACCTAATTTGACACCTAGCAGGTTGAGAACAAAAATCAACAAAACTTACCTAAATTTTAGACTGGTGGTTGATGACTCGCCTCTAATCCATTACCTACACCTCGCTGAGAACCACATTTGGGCCGAGGGACTGATCGGGCTCGTCTACGTTAACAATGCTCCCGACTTTTCAAAGCATCCTGAAGAGGTAGGGTATCTCAAACCAGAAAACTCATAGTCAAGCTAAAACGAATGTAAATCGGCTAAGTAACGTAAAAAAAAGAGTAAGAGTAGCATGTGATAAGAAACCATTCATAAACAGATCAAGGATATAATAAAATGTAGTAACATGGTTGAAAATCTATTAAAAGAGGTGAAAACCGCCTAGGGTTTTCTCACCTCACTCTCAAAACTGTAAAAACAGCGAGGATGATAAGAAAAAGTGCGCAATCTAGCCATAAACTCTATAAAACGCAAGTCGAAGAGTCAAATACGTTAAATATCGCTATAAAAACGGCAATTTGAAGTCGTGAGGTTCTTTAAGACCCGAAAAAGCCATGAAGTATCCTTTCGTTGTTGCCCTTACATTACATTAACTTTACCTTTACATTGACGCTTTCACCGATTTATATATGATTCATTGAAAATTTATATAAGCACGTTACCTAGCGAAAAATTCATATGATGAACGGCAAAAAGGTATCGTTTCCTTGGCCAAAGAGGACGAGGGCCATGAATTGCCGGCGCGAGCAGAATTTTGGAACTACGTGGTCAATTCGACCGAATTTCGAGGCAAGCATCTGACCTACGGGCGGCTCGCCGTCTCGAACGGTTAACGAGGCTCCGTGGGACGCCAATCAAGACTAAAGATTCAGCGGACAAAGGCGATCAAATTTAGTCTAAAGGGCGCGCCGGCGAGGGGGCGAATGGCCCTTCCGTCTTATATAGGGTGGGCTAGGCGAGTGGGCCAGGTAGGGCGCGTTTCGGGGGCACAGAGGGAGCAGAGCGTTAGAGGGGGTTTGTTAGTAAACAATATACCTTACCTCAGTGTCCCCTAAAATATCTTGCCCAGAGGCTTACTGTAATGAGCCAGCCAAACCAGGGCACTTGGTTAAGAGAATATCAGTAAGAGAATACCCTTTAATACGCAACCCTCAATTTTAAATTTAGATAGCGGTTTTTTTACCTTTTTATTTGATCGGAATTAATGCTAAATAGTTCACATTTCAGAAAACAAGAAATAAAGAAACTGTTTGAAAGAATCTAGCTAATTCAACGGTAATTCTGCAAGTTCTTGATTTCCACCACTTACGAATGTGTTTCGTGTTGGTTTTAATTAATAGTCGTAAACATTTAAACTCAAAAACAATAACAAAAAAATCTGAAAGTCCTAAGAATAACATCGATAAAGACAAAAAGCATAAAATTCAGAATTATCGATTTTTGTACTCAGCTCAACCTTTTTTTAGGTTTCTCTTCAGGTTCTCTAGGATTATACTAAGAAGCATTTATACTAACGTTTACATATATTAACGCCCAAGAACTCATATAATGTTTCTTTTTCAGATAGAAAGAATGCTCAAATTCGTCTCCGAACTCGAAAATACACCATATTCCATGGGCCCGAATTCGACGAGGCTCTGGTTGCGAGATTTTAATGAATATCGGTGAGGCACTCTTTTTCATGGTAGGCGTCCATTATTTTAGCCAATTCTTTGCCGAAGATGATGCTCATTTTTACGAGACGCTGAAGTCGTTCACTCATGTGTCTTTCAACACCCATTGGGCGTCGAATTTGAGATGGGCGCCGCGATCGAATAAGGTCAGTGAAAATTTTGTTTATTTTATGGCTTTTATTACCATGAAAAGACGCAAAATCATCAAATTTCAGACAAACGACGAATACGTTAACAAATTCTACTTTACCACGGCTTTTGCCATTCAAGGGTGGAACGTTCGGACCGAATTGTTATTATGGTGGAGGAATATTACCGCAAAGTGAGTCTCTCTCACTCTCTCTCGTTCTCTCTCCCTCCCTCCCTACCTCACTCTCTCTTTCACTATCTCTCTCTCTCTCTCTCTCGCTCTCTTGCCCTTGCTAATCGTTTTTCCAGATACCCCGAGTACGACGCTATCGTCTTTGATGAGAACAACTTCTACAGCGACCAAATGTTGGAACTACAGACTACAACTTTACAATCCTTGGGAACGGCCATTCTAACGCTAATTACCGTCTGCGTACTATTCGTCGCCGAATCATCGATCGTCTTCTGGGTCGTTTTTACGCTCATTTCGATGGACATCGGCACAGCCGGATTTTTATCGTTATGGGGTGCTGATCTGGAGCCAACCACTGTTGTGAACATTTTGGTAAGCTCACGACGACTCTCTCTCTCTCTCTCTCTCTCTTTATAGCAATAGTTTTAGATGTCGATTGGCCAATGCATTGATTTTGCCACTCATGTCGGCTACCGTATCTACAGATCTGAGAAAAAGGATCCAACAGAGCGGATCAAGGATTCATTAGGAGCAATCGGATGGCCAGTTTTGCAAGGCGGGCTAGCGACGTTACTAGGTAAGCAGAAGATACGATAATTCTCCAATTCCTCACTGGTCTTTGCTAACTCCCCTAAACAGGAAAGCTAAAAAATCTTAAAAAAGCCCGTAAAAATCCGATTTCCAGCTACTCTCGTCATGATCCGAGTACCTTCCAACGCCGTTCGGATGTTTGCCAGAACTTCAGTGCTTGTGGTGGCTACAGGACTATTCCATGGCCTCCTTGATTTTGCCAGTCATCGTCCGCTCATTTGCATCAGGTCTAAAATACCTAAGCACCATATTCGCCACCTACCGCAATCGATTTAGATGCCGCCGCTCATTCCGATAAACTCGCAGAAAGCGCAGAAGAAGGCGCTGGAAAGGCAGCGACAGCAGGAAGACCTGGAAGGAATGAGAAAATTTTTATACTACTGTGTCACTTTTTTGAAACTCCTGCCACATGGCTCCTTTAAAATATTTTTCGATTTTCCATTTTGTGTCTTTGCCTTTGTTTGATCTATTTTATCACATTTACAAGTACCTCCCGTCGTCTTTCCTACCGTTATATTCCCCTTTTTAGGTCCAAGTTAGGTATTTCTTACGATAGCCGCACCCCTTCCAACACCCTCCTAACACCCGTGTGATTTGCCGGTTCGGCCTTGTTATCCGCTTCCCCACGCAAACATAGCTCTTGTTCTTGTCGATCTCTGAGTCGCCTTCCATGCCTTTATTCGACTTGTCTGTTGCATAAATTGGGAATTACAACTAACAGAAATTTTGGTAAACTACAGACTCTTCAACTTCAGGATCTGAAACGCGGTATTCCATAAGTTTTGGGAGGTGCCGAAACGAGAAAAAGGTGTAAATTTAGTTTTATCCATTGGTTGTGCATGACTGCGAAAACAATATCATTTTTATTCATGCGTATGAAATCAGAGCCCAGCTGATTTCTTGGACCAATTGACAAGGATCATACCATTAATGCACC